AAAAGAGAATAGTAGTCTGCCTTAAGTCTATAAAAACATACAGAGCTAATTTTACATGGTAAGACAGAAATTTGATCCACAGAGAGAGCCTAGGTAGAGGACAAGAGAAGATGACCATCTTTCCCTTGAGTTGTCTGAAAACTTGAAAGATATCCCCAAAGCCTATGATGCTATGAATGAATGTGGCGAAGTCTTGTCCTGTATCCCAAACTATGCTCTTAAGCAGGAGTATGAAAACTTTTCCATTCAAGAGCAAATAAAAAATATTTTAGGGACCAACAGGTGACACAGAGGTTAAGGCAACTGGATTAGACATGGCTGATTGTTCAGTTCAAGTTCCAACCTATCAACTTGAAAAAACACGCAGGGCTTGTGCGTGTTTCCAAAGTCCGGAGAGGAAAATGGAGAAAGAATTGCAGAGCGGCCATCGCCTCAGGGGGCTGATTTCTCCCCTTGTGTGTGTCTCTTTCTCCCTTTCTCTCCGGCAAGCACACGTGCCCAATAGCAAACTAAAACAAAAACAGAACTAGGTATTGTGCACAAATTATTTTTATTTTAACTTCATTTCTTCCATGACAGACAGAAACACAGCGAGAGGCACCCCCAGCAGGGTCTCTGTACCATTTTCTGTCATGAGCTTCAGCCAGCCCAGGTATGAAACATACTCAAACATTCCTAGTGTGTAGAGGGAGTCTGTGAGATGTGAACTAGAGACCTTTGCACCTGGGACAGTTGAGTTACCGTTGTGTCACTATCTGAATCCCAAGTGATCTCTGCTGCAATTAAACAACTCAGTTGTTTTAGAATAAAAGCAGCTATAAACAATACGTAAACAAGTCTGGCTATGTTTTCATAAAACTTAAGTACATTCACTGAAACTTGAATTTCATATTTCTTTGTATGTCAGAAAAACAGACTCTTCTTTTGATTTTTTTCCAAGCTTTTAACAATAAAAAAACATGCTTTTTGTTATTTATTTACTTAATTTTATTGATTATTATTATTTATTTTGATGAGAGAGACAGAATGGGAAAGTGAGAAAGCAAGCTGCCAGTTCCATGACTTGAACCATGAACTCCATGTGAAAGTCCAGTGCCCCAACCACCAAGCCATCTGCTGACCCCATTAAAAAAATATTCATAAGTTGGAGACACTTATGAGGCAGACTAGATTTGGCCCACAGCCTGAAGTGTGCTGACCTCTTGTACTGTATTGGGAATCCCCCTAAGTACACCTATTTTTCTAGTTGATTTTGAAGTCTCTAGGGTTTTCCCAGTAATATGTAAGTTTTCTTTACTCTGGAAGATATAGCTTGTCCTTGAGTCTTTTACTGACTAGAAACATCATAGAAAATCAGGTTATTCAGGATTCAAATCAGATGTTTTTATCACGAGCAAGTTTATTTTAGAGTTACCCATGAAGACCTGAACTTCTGGAAATTCCCCAATTTTGGACTATTGGGGAATAGTCCAAAATTCTGGTTCTATTTGGTATTTCTATAAATGTATGGGTGGAAGGAGTAACCTATGTTTGGGTTTAGGTCAGCAATAACAGTTTTTCCCCTAAGGAGACTATTTAATAGTCAATAATGCACCAAAATTTTTTTCGATTAATGCAGTTAACTACTTGATATAACTTAAATATAATCTATTTTCCTTCCTTTCTTCTTACATTTTCTCCTTTTTAAAATTTACTACCTTGTATAATAAAGAGATCAAGATTATGAATAATTTATTTATGGAAACATTGAAATTAATTGAAAAAGGTGAGACAAAAATAGAAAATAATGGTAAGAAGAAAAAATGGGGGTCAGCAGATGGTGTAGCGGTTGTTACTGGACTCCCCCATGGCCGATTGCAGTTCAAATTCCACACCCAGTGGCTTGAAAGTCACACTGGGCACATGTGCATGCATTCTCAAGATTCCAGGAGGAGAATGGAGGAGAAGGGATTGTGTCATGGTCATCGCCTCCCCAGGAAGTGATTTTTCACTTTCCCTCTCACAGTATCTATCTTTCTCTCTCTCTCCTGTGAGTGCATGCACCCTAAGGCAAAAAACTCTTCAAAAAGAAAACAAAATGAAAGCATGAACATGGTTTGTATATGAATCTGATGCTATTAACTCTTGCATAGTTTATTCAAAATAAATTTTATTAATGTATAACTTACATATAGAATCTATATTCTTTTTAGTGTTGTTTTTGTTTTTGTTTCTTTTCTTTTTTAAGAGGTTTTTGCTACAGGGAGCATGCACATGCCAGAAAGACAGAGAGGGACAGAGAGACAGAAGGCGAGAAATCACCCCTTCAGGGAGATGGCCACACTGCAATCCCTTCTCCTCCATTCTTCTCTTGGAATCTTGGATACACATGCACATGTGGCCGGCGAGAGTTTAAGCCCTGGTTCTGGGACTCAAACAGTGGTTGACTATATGGGAGTACAACGACATAGCCATTATGTCAACTGCTGGTCCCTAGAATCTTCATTCTTTTAAAAACGGACCACAAATTTGGCTCTAATTTTGCTAACAATCATTACAATCAAGCACTCATGATCGTTTATAAAAATTCACTAAGTTGTTTCACACACACAAAAAAAGTTTAGAAAAAGGACAGTAGAGACATTAAAAACAAAAAGCAATTTACTGGAAGGGTCCTTGCAAAGGAAGACTATGTAGGAGAATTGATAATATCTCAATGTCTACATTACAATAAACACAATTATTGTAGAAGGTATCTTTATGGGCCCATATTCAAAGATATAGCATTTATAATAAACTGTCATCCAATAAAAGCAATGCTATAAATACTTAGAACCCAGGGGTTGGGGGTATGGAATTGGGATTTGACACAAAACCATGTAAGTAGCAGGCACATTGCACGTTTAACTTATGAAAGGTAGATGACACCCACAGGGCCATACTTCAGAAAATCTTCTATATACATTTTTTTCCATATGTAGTATAAACCAAGTCTGTGAGGTAATGAGTTTCAGATAGAACTCCCAAATAAATGCCTCATGTGCTACTCTTATGTATTATTAACAAATGGTGACTTGCATCCATGAATAACAACGAATTTTGAGTGACAATTTTCTTAGAAAAATAGAGGCCTTTAATAAGAACACTACCTAAATAGAACATCATTCCATAGGTCAGTCCAAACTTTACCTGAGAAATTAATCAATGGCCTATCTTCAAAAGAAGGCCTCATACTCTCACAGCACAGAATACACATTTTTTTTTTCAGAATACAAAAATTGATATTAATTTATATTGGCAGAAGTCATATGTACTAGCCAGAGAGAGAGGGGCAGGGGTTAGGAGGAGAAAGCACCCTCCAGTGAGGCATGATCATACCACACTCCCTTCTCTTTCCTTTCTCCATCCCATCAGGATTTTGTACACACAGGTACACACATGCCTGACATGTTTTTTAAGCCTCTGGGGTCAATATTCCATTCTAACCTTGATCAGCCATGTGCCTCCTAGCTAGCTTTCTTTCTTTCTTTCTTTCTTTCTTTCTTTCTTTCTTTCTTTCTTTCTTTCTTTCTTTCTTTCTTTCTTTCTTTCTTTATTTATGGTATAGAATGCCTGTACTCACCAAAAAGACAGGGAGACAGAAAGTGAGAAATCACACCCCAGTGGGCATGGCCATCCCTGCTCCATTCTCCTCTCAGAGTTTTGGGCACACACACTCATGTGCCTGGCCTGTTTTTAAGTCTGGGACTCAAACTGCAGTGGACTATGTGAGAGTTCAGCAATGTAACCATTATACCATCTGCTGGTTCTGGGATCTGGCTCTCGTAAGCCGTAGGCTATGGGGCCAGCCCTCCATGAACTCTTTGAAGATCCTGACCTCATGTGAGAAAATTTTAAGAGAATATCAGATATAAATCAGTTAAAAGTTGGAAACTCTCTATCAAAATAAAACAATGACATTTTATAACAATACTACACATGGCTCCTTTTCCTGGAACAATTAATGACCAGACCTAGTCTTTAAGGATGGTGTCATTTTAAAAGTCATGATTTTGCATTTAAGAACATGTAATTGGTAGGGATGGGAAATATGTACATAGATAATCCTAAATAACTCAATAAGTTATTTTTTAAAAATTCAAAAACTAAGAGCCTTGGAACTTAATTATGATGATGCTGTTGATAAGGGGGAAGAATGGATGCAAAAGACCATCTTGGGAAATAACTTTCTGATTTTGATTGAAATAGTACCAATAACTGGGATTCATAATGAATTCATGAAGCTTAGTAGGATGTCTGATATGCATCACTAAACCAGATGTGGAAGAAAGGACATTAGAAACCACAAGCAGGGGCTAGCCTATGGCATAATGGTTATGTCACTGGACTCCCATGTAGTCGACCATGGTTCAAATCCTGGACTTGGCAGCGTAAAAGTCATGGTGGTTGCATGTATGCTCAAAATCCAAAGAGGAGAATGGAGAAAAAGAGATGGGGGCATGCTCATTCCCTGTGGAGGGTGATTTCTCACTTTCTGTCTCTCCCTGTCTCTCTGGCAAATACATGCTACCTACAGCAAAAAAAAAAAAAAAATTGTATTATTCCTGATGTATTTGTTCACACGTGTTACATGTAAATTAAGTATAGGTAAAAGAAAGACAAAACAAACATGTAAGCAATTATGTAAATTTCAAGTGTCAAACTGGCATATATTTTAAATATAATACCAATAATTTAATGTGTCTATATTGCTCTGAAGAAGGGTAGTCTATCGAAAATTAAATAACATGGCTATAGTTATGTTATTAATTTCAATACCCACACACACACATTTACTATTATGGCTTTAACTTCATAGAGATGAGCACGTTAGCAAGGACTACGAGGACCCTAAGTAAGCCGTATGGTGCAAGTCTCTGAGTGTCTTAACAAAAGGCATGGTTGCCTTCTGATCCAGTGGAATCTCAGGAGCATCAGATGTTTAAATAGTATGCGGCACTTTGGAAGCCAGAGTTACTTACCAGTTGGTGTAAGGTGTCTCCAGGTGATAACAGGTTCAGGACGGCCATTGGCCATGCAGACTAGGGTGACATTGCTGCCTTCATTCACAGTGACATCCGAGGAGATGTTGGAGATCTTTGGTGGAACTGTGCAGACAAAAACAAATGGAATATGTAAGCATGGTATAGGACCGGGCTTGCAGAATTGGTCCTTGTAACTGGAAGAGGAAACTTCAAACTTTTCTGACTTTATTTGAGTTTTTAATGGTCAGAAGCCAGGGTACTTTTATGCCATAGTCTGCTCACTGTCTGTAAGGAGGTCCTAAAGCACTATTATGAGGTAAGACTTAACTTCCACTATGGCCACCCAAATTTTGGGAAGTACACAGACTTATATTATAAAAATGTCTTAGCTCTTGTGTGATTAGAATGGACCATAGTCAAGTACTAGAGAGTATGAAGATCTACATAAAGTATTAATAGGTCAATAAGTAAATAATGTGATTATTGTGTTTCTTTTTTTGAGGGGCAGGGAGAGTTTTTTGCTAATAGGGTGTGTGTGCTCATCAGAAAGACAGAGAAACATAAAATGAGAAATTACCGCTCAGGGGGATGGTTATGCCACAATCCCTTCTCCATTCTCCTTTGGGATCTTGGGCACACATGCACACATGCCCGGTGTGAGTTTAAGCCACCAGGTCCAGGACTCAAACCACAGTTGACCACATGGGAGTCCAGTAACATAGCCATTATGCAACTGCTGGTCCCTGACTACTGTGTTTCCTAATTTTATTTTTGTATATATTAAATAATTGTAGTCCAGTATCCCTTTTGAATGTCAAGGATACATAAACAGTGCCATTTGGTGTAAGGTTGCATGATTGTATCATTAAGATGTAGTAAACCTGGTTACTTATCATCTAGGAAACGAAGAATCAACCAGTATAGTAGTAAACCTCCAAATATCATTCTGGTATGTGGCAGGTTGTGTTATATACTTTAGGAACTTAAAAGCTAAATTCAGAAAGCCTATGTCCCAGACAGGTAGTCGTTATAAAAATACTATTATTCCTACTCCTATCAGCACCATTGCTACTAATCATTTAGTAATCTCTAGATTTAATTAAACATCCACTATACATAAGACAGAATGCAAAGCAATTTATAAGTATCATCTTGGTAATTCCTTATAATAAAAAAATAATATGCTCTGAGTATTTTATTCATGAGTGGGAAACTGAGCCTTAGTGTAGGGCTTGGTTAGGAGCAAATAATGTGTTGGAATCCAGGCAGACTCCAGGATCTATGTTTTCAGAGCACTACTCGAAAGAAATTTAATTTTCACAATCCAGGCTACCAGATGGCCAAAAACAACAGAAATTAATTTTTGGTGATGTGAGAAATGAGTGCCCAAGGGCAAGCTCCACTTCTGTCTGACTTCCTTCATTTGTGTTCCGGGAGGTACCATTAGATCCCACACTGGTAGGCTTCAGTGAGAAGTGAATTACAAGTTTATCAGAGAGCTTAGAACTGATTACAAATACCATGTTTGTGGTTTGACTTCAATGTCCTTTAATTAATTAATTTTTTAAAACTCAGCTGCTTATGCTATATCTCGGAAAGTATAGGGCTAGAGAAGAGAGCCTGAAGGAGCTCCATAATTAAAGAATCTCACTCTCCCCCAACAGCCATGCTTCCTGCCTACTAGAGATTATGCGTAGTGTCCAATGAAAAGGGAACAGTTTTTGCTTGTAGAAGCACATGCCTGCCAGTCACAGGATCCCTGCAAATCTGCAGTAGCAGAAAGACACTGATGGTACTTGAGCCACTGGATAGTTCAGAGTGTCACAAGAAGGAAGTGGGAAGAAAAGTTTGTGTTTGTTTATTTTATATTCAATCACGGTGTGTCATTACAACACACCAAATGAATTTTCCCATCATGAATTCACTGTATATTGGTTCAGTCAAAGATATTACCTTTGGACCTTAGCCTTCTACACAAAATGACAACATCTAGGGCCTCAGGTGACTGCAAATCAAATTCAGTGGCAGCCGGCCCCAAGGGCAGTGGATATACTATGCACAGAGTAAGCTGGTCCCAGCATGGACATCCAGGGTTCCAGCACTGGGCCAGTAGCTTGGAAAAAGTGCTGAGTGCCTGAATGCATGCTCTGCATTCTTATGGGATGAAGAATTTGGCAGAGAAAATACTGTGGCAAACAAGGCCCCATTAAGAGGTATTTGCTCTTTCTCTCTCTCTCTCTCTCGTTCTTTTTTTCTCATTATGTGTGCATGCGCATACCCTCTGACATTAAAAAAAAAAAAAGTAAAAAACCCAGTGGTTGAAATAGACTATAGTTAATTGTTAATTCCTACTATTAAGCAATCTTTAGAATTTCAATTCTCTCTTCTAGCTATTAGTGTTAAGGGTCATCTGCTTATATTCACTATTTTGCTTGAAATATGTTCTCCCAAACTTGTATGATAAATATCTGAAAGGTTATACCTATTTTGTAGGGAAGAGCATGAGGCACAGAGAGAACTAGTTGAGTTATGAAGAGTAATTTCATCAAGAACTATTGGGACCAGCAGTTGGTGTAATGGCTATGCTGCTGGACTTCCATGCAGTCGACCACAGTTTGAATCCCAGACCTGATGGCTTAAACACTCTGGCGAGCACGTGTGCCCTATAGCAAAAAAACTCTAAAGAACCCCCCCAAAACAACAAACAAACAAACAAAAACTATGGCTGGGCTTAGAATCAGAACTCCTGAATATTTTGTTCTATTATTTAATATTCACAATTTCTAATTCACAGCTGAGGAAGCTAGTGTTCTGAATATCTCCAAAGCAACTCCAATAAAATATAAATCACTGTGGTATTCTAGCACAAGATTTGGACACAGTAGGCACCTTCTTCAACTATCTGTAACTGGTAATAGGAAGCTGCATAGTAATTATAAGAGCCTACATTACTCAAATGTAGTTTTCCTCTAAATTGTAATAAAGGGCACAGTATAAGGAGATGGATTTTGGATGTGTTCTGCTTTAAAAAAACAAAAAGCCTCAATATCACTAATATAAAACCATGCATATTCATAAAAGAGAACAAATTCATGATTAAGAGCATTTGCCTTAGAGAAATAAAACCTGTGTTGCAATTTCATCTCCTTACTTGTTTATTTTTTTAAAGAATTTTAATTTTGGGACCAGCAGGTGGCATGGTGGTTAAGGTGCTGGACACTCCCACATGGCTGACCACGGTTCAAGTCCTAGACCTGGTGGCTTGCTTTCTCACTTCCCCTCTTTCTTTCTCTGTCAAATTAAAAAATAAATGAATGAATAAATTAAAAATTTTAAAATAATTTTAATTTTAATTTTGACCAGAGAGGGACAGAGAGTGAGTGAGAGAGAGAGAGAGAGAAGAAGCAAGCCACCAGGTCCCGGATTTGAACCGTGGTCAGCCATGTGGGAGTCCAGTGCCCTTAACCACCACACCACCTGCCAGCCCCACCTATTTATTTTTTTAATAAAAGGAACAAACACTAAAGTCTTTGTTTTTACCTGTCACACAATTAAGCACTTTTTGAGGGTTACATAGACAGGTACTGATAAAATAGAATAAAATACAGAAAAAATAACTTCAGAGATATGTTCTGACGACAAAAACTACGTCTCCTGGTTAAAGACAATGTACTTCGAGGCTGGATCTCAAAGCCTAGAGATACCAAAAGCTGTGGAACAGTTAGAACTGTAACCACATCGCACCACTGTGTCTCATTTGCCTCTGCATCACTTACAATGATCTCCATTTATTTTCCTCTTTTATTTTGTACTGACTTCTTCCTATAAGTATTTTCACATATGGGGTTGCATAGAAAAACATAAAAATATACATCATGACTTTTATGACAAGCCAATAATGGAGTCTTTTTGTTCTCAAAAGAAATTCATTTTTAGGATTAGCAGATGGCGTAATTGTTATGCTACTGGACTCCCACATAGTCAACCATGGTTCGAGTCTCAGACCTGGTGACTTAAAACTCATGCCAGGCAGGCGTGCATGCGTACCCAAAATCCTGAGAGAAGAATGGGGGAGAAGGGATTGTGGTGTGGTCATTCCCTCTGGGGGCTGATTTTTCACTTTCTGTCTCTCTGGCAAGTACACCTACCCTATTGCAAAAATCTCTACCAAAGGGGGGGGGGGAAGGAATTCATTCTCAAACCACCCCTCCCCCATGTTGCCCTACTGACTTTAGAGGTCTCTTCTCAAATTTCTTGATGGAATTGTTCTACACCTCTTCTTCATCTATCATGTACAATTCAACCTCAGTGCAATATGTATTTTATTCTTAACCACCAAAAAAACTGCCCTCATCAAGCTCACCAATGGCCATTTTGTTTCTAGGCCCATGGACAATTTTTGCTATGACCTTATTTTTCTCTGAAGTATTTGACTTGTAACTATCTTCTTCTACTACTTTCTTTCTTATTTTCTATGACACCAAATTAACCCCACCAATACCACCCTCGCCCCTTCTGGTCAGCCTTTGTAGTTTAGCTTTTGGGCTGATCTTGTTCTGTTTCTTAAGCAATTGTACCGAAAGGTTTCATCCCTGTCCTTTTTCCTCAGATGAATTTATGCATTTACTGAGTGATCATATCTATTAATAATTTCTAGCATCAGAAGCTGGAGCTACATTACTGAGGATGCCTATATCTCCAGCCCCAGATTTCCTCATGACCACGATACCCACATTTGCAATGGGCTATTCCGTACCTCTGTCACATGACTTATGAACACCAAGGCATTATAGACTCTGAAATGAAGTCATCATTTCCCTTCCCACAAAACACTTTTGTTTCATGATCTTAGGGAATGGCGTCACCATGCAAAGATGGACGTCCAAGCAACAAAACAAGGCTACTCCCTTGACTGTTCTCTCATCTTCACTGCTGCCATATAAAATTCCCCAAGTTCTGTGATGTATGCCTCAAAAAAAAAAAAAAAGTCAGAGGGCATATGTGCTCATCAGAGAGAGAGACAGAGAAAGTGAGAAAGTACCCCTTATGGGGGGATGGTCATGCTGAAATCCCTTCTTCATTTCTTTTCTCAGAATTTTGGGCATGTAAGGTATGTAAGTCCA